TTGCACTGATGACAGTTTTTAAAAGTAGAATTGATTAGATAATCCACTATTTAGTTTTTTCAAGGCTATCCACAAAAAAAATCCTTACAAGTGCTAAGTTCACTAAATTTGGTTGTTTAATAAAATAGGAACCTTTTTATAATTATTAATGTTTTTTTTCTTAAAAAGAGTTCAATTAAAATGTATATCTACATTTTTATTTGCAGGAACGTATTTCCGGACAATTTATTTCAGGCGTCCTTTCAACAAGCGCACACTGTTTATCTTCCTAAGCCAAATATTTTACATACTTTTAATAAGACACTCAACGATACAACGATGGGCACGGAGTTAGAGCCCGTAGAGGAGGTACTATCAGAGCAGCAAGCGAAAAACGTCCTCCAACCTACTCTGATACGAGTCGTACAGTATCGCAGCGGTACCAACACCCTCGGCATTGTGTTCTTTTGTCTAGTTTTCGGCACCATTCTGGGTACCATCGGCGAAAAAGGTCAAATTGTTGTGGGTTTTTTTACTGCCGTTTTTGAAGTCATTATGAAGATGGTCACTTGCGTCATGTGGCTAACACCAATCGGTATAAGTTCAGTGATAGCGGGTAAAATTTTGGGCGTAAACGATTTGCACTTGGTAATGGAGCAGCTAAAGTGGTTCATAGTCACGAATCTGATTGGCGTGGGCCTTTATCAGTTCATTATAATGCAGGCGATTTATTTTGTGTTCGTGCGACGCAACCCATTCAAATTCTATGTCGGACTCATACAGCCTATGCTGACCGCTTTTGCGACAGCCTCAACGTAAGCGAAAACTCCTACATGCATATGTAAATCTATGTGAATTCTTGTACATATGTATGTACCATAAACGCCTAAATACACACATCCATGCATATGTACACATTGTACTGGTTCATAATGTATTTAAAGTCTATTTACCTGCGATTATTGCATTAATTGTATTTTTAAGCACTTTTGAATGTCAGAAATTGACTCATAAAAGTTGTGCGCTTTGTCATATTTATGTTCATACATATGTATGTCCATTACGGTGGCTGCATTCATGTGAACATATGTGCACACAAATATATGTAGGAACGTGTATATGCTTGGCCAGTGATTATTGGATGCAGCTCCGTAAGACTTAATTTTAATTTTAATTGCTACAAATATTTTTTCCTTCTTTTTGGACTCCAACTTTTGATTTGCGTTTTAATTTTCATTTGGAAAAACGATTCGAAATGCGGCATTAAATAATTAACAAACAAAATGCAATTCAATTAAAAATAAATATAAAAATAAAAATAACAAACAAATAATCAAAATTTCCTAAAATTGATATAATGAAAAACTAAAACAACACTGAATGGCTATGAATGGCGCGTTGTAAAATGATCCTGATATCAAACATTTTACCTTGGCTGCACTTTGGATACGTTCCTCCGTTCTATCTTCGATTCGGTGTTGCAGTGCTGCAGCTCTACCGATCACATTCCGTTGCATTAACGATAAGTTGCGTGTGGATCAGCGCATTAGCCGTTTCGTTCTACCCATTGGTTGCAACATCAACATGGACGGCACGGCACTCTTCATAGCAATTGCCTCCATCTTCATTGCTCAGATGAGCGGCATTGTTCTGGGCTTCGGAGAATTGGTGACAGTTTTATTGACTTCAACTGCTGCATCTATGAGTTCGGCCAGTGTTCCCAGTGCAGCTCTGGTTCTTTTGCTGGTAGTGCTGACTGCCATCGATGCACCCGTACAGGATGTAACTCTCCTCTTCGCTGTGGATTGGTGTGTGTAAGTATCGTTAATAATTTTTTAATATAAACATATACATGCATACATCAGAACTTTGAAACTGTGAAATGATTTAATTTTTTAAATCATGAAATATTTACAAGTAAGATTTCACGGTGCTAAATGCATGAATGAAAACTTCAGAATGCTGAAGTAAATATAATTCTATACTGAACGAGCCTCCAGATGAATGAAACACTTTGCTTTGTTTGCATTCTCTAATTCAGGGGTTCTTAAACTTTTAAGATGATGGAACCCTTACTAACCACATTTCATTTTATGGAACCCCACATCAAATTACTAAAAATCAAAGGTAGTGCAATTTAAATATGAATAAACACTTTTACTAGAAATAGTATACATTCTTTAAATTTTAATGTGAGGAATGAAATTATTTCACTGCTAGTAATTTTTATATAAAATAGTACTTCGATATAATGACTGAAAGCTGTATGAGCATTTCTCGTGTAGCATCCAATTTCGACCTGAATCTGTTTTTTGTATAAGTGTAAGCTGAAAACCCTGTTGACGGAGTACGTTGTGACAGAAGGAAAGTTAAGAAGGTATTTTCATCGACTTCATGATATTTACTCTTAATACTAACCCAAAACTCTGTCAGAGACACAGATTTAAATGTGTGTTTCAATGTCGAAGTACTCTGGAACAAACCGACATTACTACGGCCATCCGAAAAATAATCTGACTAAGACTTCATGTGATTTACCAAGTGCCAAGTTATGACATTTCACATTTCATTTGGCAATTCATCGCGTTCCTTGTAGAAAGTTGTACATAACTCTTTGGCTATAGCGGCCAACAACACATACCGGTTAGAAAAACAATAAGCTGGCAAGCACAAGCGCAACGCTCTTAATAAAAAAAATAAATAGATAATTGTGCCTCGGTTGAGCTGTTTATAGAACTTTTCTTTCTGTGTGCAACTCAATCGACCGCCGTGCTTATTCATACCAAAATTAATTTCGCGAAACCCCGGTGACTTTTTTACGGAACCCTTGCGTTCCGCGGAACACACTTTATGAAGCCCTGCTCCAATTCAAATATGTGGGCAAATCCAAAAAATAGGTACACTTTTAAACAAAAGTTTGATTTTTTAATTTAATATTAAATTAAATGTTATATGTTTTATATATCATTTTATTCGTAATCTCTTAATAAATCGATTAATATAAGTGTAATTCATTTTCATCAAGTGCTTCAAAAGTTAGACGAGGAATAAACATGAAATTTAAAACAAAAGAATAAGCTTGGTTCAAATTGTAGATTTTGAAAGTTGAACTCGCTTAATTGGGACGTTCTAAATTCAATGGCAAGCCCTGTTTTACCAGATTTTATTAAATTTTAACTATTTTATAAATAACTCCCTCAGTTTTGATGTTATTTTACTAAAATTTTGCACATAACAGTTTTTTAATATTACCTTAATCCTTCCTTAAAATTATTCCTTAAAATTATCGAAATAGGTTAACATTAACATATAGCTCCAATACAACTGATTACTCAGATATTTATTTTTGCGCTGTAACTCTAATTTCATAGCTAAATAATAAATTGTATGGGTTCTATATTTTAAATTGAGCCTATATTAAATTTTAACCTGTTTAATTGAAGGAGTTATAAGACAAAACAACGTCTCTGATCAATCAGTTGTATAGGAGCTATATGTTTTAGTGAACTGATTTCGATGATTTTATGAAATAGTTAAGGTAATATTAAAAAACGGTTATGTGCAAAATTTTATTAAAAAAGTAACTCTAAATCCAGGGACATTTTTATAAAATAGTTAAAATTTAAGCAAAGTTTTAAGTATTGCTATCTCGAAAAGTGGAGCCAATAAAGTAAAACTGAGGACGCCATTGAATTTAGAAGACTCCAATTAAGTAAGAGCCACTATCAGAACATTTGTCGAAAAAAAGTTTCTTTGATACCACTCTCGAAATATTCTGACTAAAAGAAGGAGCATCATTAAAAGTAGTAAATCAGGGTTTGTACACACTTCTAGAGACAAATTTTTTGAAGCATTTTATAGCAGTTATATAAAGATTTAGATCGTTTCGACGTATTTTCCAAATGTGCCTTCAATTAAGGTGTTTTTGGAATAAAAATTACGCTCAAGATCGCAAAATATTTTATCTTTAAATGTTAGTTTATTCTGAAAGCACACCTCTTGCTAAGGTATCAAATTATTCGTCATTGTTTGTAGAATACAAGACATACTTAAAAAGTTCTTAAAATTAAATGCTTCAAAACCTATACGCGATAAACCGAAAATTTTTTAAATTGTGAAATGTGGAGTTACAGACTTTGAGTTACTTGCCATTTCGTTATTTTTTAATGCATACTTTTCTTACCTACTACATATGAAGTGTACACATAAGTGCTAAACGCCCATTTAATTTCAAATCAGAATATGGTGTGCTTCAAAAGTTATGACATAATCAATTGTGCTCCTCTTAAAAATTAGATAAAAAATTCATTTGTTTTCTTTATTATTTTTTTAATTTAAACACCTATATTTCAAAAGTTATGTAGCAAATTGATCCAAAATTTTTTGAGGCTTCTAGTATACGTCAATGAATTATATCCTAAAGCAACCAGCTTGATTTAGTTTACAGCAGTGAAAAAGTTCAGGGCAGGCCCGGTCGCCAGGGGGGGAAAGGGGGTTTGTGGTTTAAACCCCCACTGTGGAGGGAAGTATGCATAACAATTTGCTATCATTTAGTTTAAGATAATAATGGTAAACAATTTTAAGATATCAAATATTTAAGATCTGTTTTCAGAGGTGGTAGGCGAGAGATCTACATAGGTTTAATTTAAGCCCGGAAGGTTCTATCACCTTTTGTTTCTTTGCTAAACCGCGATTCTTTGACACTTTGACCTCGTTTTTTTCAAAATCTGGAGCTGATGGAAACTTTATGCCTACGGATTCGTAATCACCACAAAACAAAATCTATCAAAAACGGCTTTAACATTTGCCGTACTAAATTTTTTTTATATTTTTGTTGGGCTGTGTTTTCCATTAAAAAATGAGCAAAAATTCAGACTTCTGTTTTTTCTGTAGAAATTTTTCCTTATGTGGTCTATAAGACCCTTCGTTCCCCTATTTAGTTATAGTTTTGCAAAATAATTCAAGGAATATCATCATGTATGTGCAGTAGACTGCGCCTTATTCTGCAACTTTGTGCTACAAATCAGGAAGGTTCATTTGGTCATAAAAGAGTGACCTGCGGGAAATTTTTAAAATCGCATAGCGGCAAGACGTGCCTCAAAGGCCCTGAGGTTCAGCAAATTAATGGAATCTTTAACAAAGTGGTTAATATTTTGCCTATAAGTCAGTGGGAAATTTAATATACATATTTTAATGGCACTTGAGCTACAGTATTTTTAAACCTGACCATCTTTTAAAGTTATTGACGTTTTTTTGGGAAAACGCCGAGAGGCCTTTTGAAAAATTCAACATAGAGTCTCAAATGTGGCATCTAAAGTAACCGTAAATTAGATTTGGCATTACAAATTTTTTGCCACCGGAGAACC